CACTGAATACGACGCACAGCGCACAGCACAAATATTTTCGTGGCGCCATCTTTCGCTTTGCGCCGAAAAGACTTGCGGGGAACAGTGCGCGACGCGAAGTTGTGAGTTTAGGGGTCTTTAAGAGTCGAGTCTGGAAAATGCGATGAGCGAACTCAATAAATTGAGTGTCCAATTTTTAATTATTTCTATTTTCATTAATTTCCTAAAACCGATTTTGTTTCAGTAGTTACTTTCAGTAGTTTGTTTGTTTCAGTAGTTACTTGAAAATTGCGAAATTTCGGTAGTGTTCAGTTTCTTGATTCCGTAATAGCCTGTCAATAATATACCCCCTGAAAGCCTTTGTGAATAAAAAGCCCAAAAAATGTGCTGTTTCATATCACATTACTGCAATGCCATTCTTAATAATAGGAAATTTTTATCATGTTCTTGAAATATAAATAAGTGAATAATAAATAAATATTATTCGTTCGGAGTCTCAACTCTAGAATGCAAAATATCTATGTTCTTTAAGTTTTAAGCTAATTACCATTTTTCAGCCATCGCTTGGTACCTCTAATTCGTTTTTTTCAAATTGTTTTCTTGCAGTGACCATTTCTGATACCGTGGTCACAACTGGGTCGTTACCCTTGGTTTTTGAATTAAATGAAGAGAATTTCCAGAATAGTACTTCTCTTCAGTGAACACGATTATCGGCTGGGGTGGCTCACGGCAGCGAATGATGTCATTGTAGTGTCCCTGACCGGAAGGCACTCGGGTTCGAGTCACGGTGGTGTCAGGGTTTTCGACACTAGCTAGATAAACGCGTAGTGAAAGTTCGCTCTCAGTTTGCCATTTCATTTACACCGTTTTAATCAATCTCGTAGATAATGCTTGGGATAAAATAGAGGGTCATTTCTCACACATCTGACGATTAATCCTGTAGAATTGCTATTTGGATTAGAAAGTTACAGCGAAACGCATGAAAGTTACAAGATGCCTGTCATCAAATTTCGCGCGGTTTCGTACACCGTGCCCACTAGCCAATAATAGAGACCCGCTGCTGAGTGAATGTGCCGTGTGAGGTATTTTACATTTAAGATCATCTGATACCTAAACAAATGTACACGTATTGCATAAAAGTGTAGAGGTACCTTCACCGTATAACTTCTTCAATATTAATTGAAAAAGAACTAGGCCTGCGAAAATATTTTCCATAAGAGCCCATTCAATTTTAAACTTCTTTCATTGAAAAATTTGACCGGTATGGGCCAAATTTTTTCTTACAATCTTGAAGAACGGAGATTTTACTTTCGTTTGTAGCTATTAACATACCTAGTAATATTATGAGTGCTATTACTGCTGAGGCCGAAAGTTAAAAATTGAGGAGTGTATCAGAGTGGCATTTTATCGGTCACCATACAATTTCAGGATTTAAGCGAAAAGTTACGTTACTGCGATAGTAAACATGAACTCTGTTGCTGCGGTACTACGACGTTGTGGGGTGTTGCTTACGATGTATGTATTTATTATTATTATTATTATTATTATTATTATTATTATTATTATTATTATTACTATTATTATTTAATCGATTATTTCTCGTTAGGAGAGCGATTGAACTGGAATTCGTGATTTTATTTTTGGATGTTTGGATGTCATCATAACAAAATTCTATAATAGTGATATAAAATGAACATTCTTCAGACCAAAGTGAACGAGGGTGAAAAATAAATAAAATTGATTTCCGTCTATTGACAAGCCTGCTTTGTTTTTAAATTATGGAATCAAATAAAAAGTTTTATTAATTAAACTGATGACGTTTTGACTTTGCTTTCTCTGCCATATCTCAATTAAAAATTAATAAACGAGACCACTTTCAAATTAAATCACCCACACGCCTGTGTTCAATGAGTACTTATCCAGTTTAAAAATGTGAAACGGTGTTTAATAACATCGATGGTTTTGAGTCGATGTATTAACGATATTTTCATTTTGAGAATAGATGTTTTGGTTTTGAGAATCGATGCTTTGGGTTTTGAGAATCGATGCTTTGGGTTTAGAGAATCGATGCTTTGGGTTTTGAGAATCGATGCTTTGGGGTTTTGAGAATCGATGCTTTGGGTTTCGAGAATCGACGTTTTGGGTTTCGAGAATCGACGTTTTGGGTTTCGAGAATCGACGCTTTGGGTTTCGAGAATCGACGTTTTGGGTTTCAAGAATCGACGTTTTGGGTTTCGAGAATCGATGCTTTGGGTTTCGAGAATCGATGCTTTGGGTATCGAGAATCGATGCTTTGGGTATCGAGAATCGATGCTTTGGGTATCGAGAATCGATGCTTTGGGTTTCGAGAATCTCATGCTTTGGGTTTCGAGAATCTCATGCTTTGGGTTTTGAGAGTCTCATGCTTTGGTTTCGAGCATCGATGTTTTGTGTCGATGTCGCATACCTAACTAAATAAGGCGGCGGGGGGGGGGGGGCTTTCTCCCCGCCTGCCTCGCCGGGTGTTCCGTAATCGGACGCCGTCGGCGCTGGAACCGGTCGGGGCTGCGGTGGCGCGGCCTGGCGGCCACTGGGGCGGAAAGCGCCCGGAAGCCATTTCCCGAACCTCCAGACGCGCCGGCCGGGCCAAGTTTTGTTTATATAACACTGGGAGTTTTTTCACGATGAAAAGACCGGAAGAGGCGGCTCAGGGTATCAACTGGTGTCCCCACAGTGCCTCTGACCGGGAGGTCCTAGGGTTCCGCTCACAACGGTACAGCAAGGTTTTCGCCACTTGCTAGGTAGCAACGAACAGTACTCTGCAGTGCTGTACCACACAAGCCGGGAGACCGGTCGGGAGCTAAGAGCCTGTGCAGGCTGGGGCGGTGTATCGTTGGTACAAGATACCTGGTTGGGGAAACCCCGCTTGCTGATGGTAGGTCGGCTCCGGATCTCACCATCCAGCAGGGGTGAAGATAACCGCCAGCTTCAAAGAAAAAAACCCTACACTGATGGGACTAATGACCATAGGAGTTGACGCCGGGAATCACCAATCAATCACTCAATCACTCTAACGTTGAGAAGGAGGTGAGCTTTTGCGCAGCCTATCCGGCTTCAGCCAATGAGCTTGAGACATCAGTTTGCGTCATAGTATTAGCGGGGACTCTAAATGCACTCAGATACTAAAATTATCACATTGTTACAAGCACTGCAACAGAGATAAAAAATATTTTTAAAATTGCATCTATTTCAATTACACCTTCAACGTGTTACTTTTGGATGGTCACCAATGAAAATTGCCACTTTATGCCACTTTCAAAATGTATCTCAAGACTTCTCGCATGCTATGCAGCGCAGAACGACCAAAAATCGATGCGTTGGGCCATTTCATCCATGTTTTTTCATCATGCATTTGCTGTCGCTTCTTATAGTTAATCTCTCTATATCAGTTTAGTTTTATAAGCAGAGCTCGGATTAGGGGACGTAGCTAACTTGTCAATAAATCTTTGGCATGACGTATTGGGTCATTTTTTGACATTTTCAATTTTTAGGTTATTTGTTGGACAGTAGTGTAATTTTTGTCATTTTTACGGATTTTGATTTCTTATCGTGTTTTTTATTACTGAATTTTTCATGAATTTACAAGGCACACTAAAACAACCTTTTTATTGTATCATCAGTTCATTACAAAATTCACTACTCCAATTGACTAGGTTTTTCGAACTCTCAACATTACACGAATCTTCGTCAACGTCCTCGACATTTCAAAACTGACGGCTGTAAGATAGGAGCTAAGGAGTACATTTCCTTCTGAAATAAAGACTTTATATTAAATATAATTTTTGATATAAACACATTTTTTTTAAAAAAAATAGGTCATTTCCCCCAGATTTTAAATTCATTTTCACAGAATTTTCAGGTCATTAGAATCCGAACCCTGATTAAAAGTCTTGAAATTGCATTGTACTTTTTGGACTCGTGCAAAAATTCTGCTCTCTGTGAATCGTGGTTTTAAAAGTGAAATTTGCCTTCTGCTGGAACTCAACTTCGAATCTTTTGGGAGACTCTTGCTACGGAGAGGGGGGTATGCCTCTCCCGTAAAAAAATGTAAAATGTGAAAAATGTTCTCATTTTATAGGTTACGGCGTAGGAAAAATATTACGTGTCCCGCGAGGGTCTCGAAATCGGTTTGAAGGACGTGGGTCGTCGTTTCCTAGGCGATGTTTCGGATGGCTCGTACGCCTGCTGTTTCCTCGACTCATAATCTGATAATTGATTATTTTGTGTTTCTGTGCGAGTCAAATTCTGTGAGTGATCATTGGTCCTGTAAGTGTACTGCATGTTTTTTATCGCGGGAGGTTGTAGTGCTCTTCCCGTGCTGCAGGGTAAGATCCGATGCCGACCTACGTGTCGCCTTGCGGGGTTTTCCCCACCCAGGTATCTTTCATCAGCAGGGCCGCGTCCCTAGCCGGGACAAGCTGTAAGCTCCCGAATGATCTCCTGTCGTGTGTGGTAGTGTATTGCATGTAAGTGTGTGGCAGTATGGGATGTGGATATGACAAAGACGGAGGAAAGATCGCGGGCAGTTCGTGGCTGTTTTTGGTAGGGAACTGCTCCGGCATTCGCCTGGAGGTGATCGAAGAAGCCATGGAAAACAGCGGATCAGAGTAGCCGGCCGCTAGAATTCTCCTCCAGACAGCGGCAGAACTCGATCTACCTCTCCACTTGGTCGAAAAATCGTGCGTCGTAGAGAACCTCCGGGTCAGAGGAAAGTTGATTCTCAGATGATGCCTTAAGCCTTCTCAATCGGTACAATCTGACAACTTTATCGTAGTTTCGTACTTTGATAAATTCCAGTACCGAAATGGTGTTGTTCCTAAATGTTGTAAACTCAATAGTAATACTATACGAAGGTACCCTGAGGAAGTCTCCTGAACGTTTGTAATAGCTTCGCAAGAGCTTTGGGATAATGTCCCTATATGTTGTACGTAAATTCGTGTATGTAATAAAAGGTGATTAATATTTTATTTCTTCTGTTGCAGGAAAGACTGCGATCGTTCGAAGATACACTGAAGGTGAGTTGGTCATTATAAAGATGAAAGTTTAAAAGTCAAATTTCTAGGCATTTGAACAAATAAATTCTGAGGAAAATGCCTCCCTTAAATAAGGGGAGGGCATATTCATGTACTGAACCCTTGGTAACTTTAAACAAATCACGGATCCCACGAGTATTTTGTAGAGAGAGGAAGGCGCGGTTTTCGACACAGCTCATGCGAGAGCACTAATTTTCAGGAATCATTCTCGCATGGAGTCTGCCCTCAGTGTGAGGGTTTTTTCTACCCAGGGTCGACGTCTCACTCGATGTCGAGGCGCTTACAAAAATGTATATTTTTTTTCATTCTTTCAAAAACCGTTAGAAGTTGGCTGCCAATGCACGGCCAACTTCGAAGCCGATCAACCACCGTTTGCTTTACACGGGCATTCCGGCACATTCCGACTCAACCACAGGCATATTACAGCTAAGCACGGTTTTACATGTCGATTCGAACCGACGCAAACCATGAATACACCCTGGCCAAGATATTACAATATTTTACCGATCCTTATTAAAACTAGTGGTACTAAAACAGCACGTACTTTCTCGACTCTAGTAGTAATTGTGTAATACTATTTATACCACAATTTATCTCCGAATTAGCACATCTGTCATTATTTTTTGTAAAACTCATTACAAACCTAATATTTTCAAGCCAATATCAACTCTTGTTTGACAATTATAACTGCTTTTCATACAGGTAAATAATTTCGCAACAGTTTGACGTAATTCGCAGAAAGTAGCTTCCGAGTCATTGATGCATTCCAATCTGATATTCCCTGAAGGCTAGCAATTTTTATTTCATATATTTCAGCTAGGTTTTAAATAATTTCTAAATCATTAATTTGTAAATGTTTAAAAAAAGCTCGCATGTAAGAAACAAACTAAGAAATATAATATAATATAATATACAAATTATAACGTACGAAGTATCCAAATGCCTGAAATTACATTAACGAAGTCCAGTAAATTCGGAGCGGGCGGTTACCTGTGTTTCTCGCCAAATTACATAAAATATACTCATATTTTCAAAAAAAAAAAAAAAATTAACATGACTGTATTTGAAGCTCTGTTTTTGATGAACACATTTCATTTAGGGAAACATTGTATCTTCACAATTGTAGTTGTAGGAACACGAAGATGTTTTTTTTAATTTTCAAATAATCAGGTATTTTAACGATTATGAGGATCATAATCGTTATCGAATAATATTTTCAAAAAAAAAAAAAAAATTAACATGGCTGTATTTGAAGCTCTGTTTTTAATGAACACATTTCATTTAGGGAAACATTGAATCTTCACAATTGTAGTTGTAGGAACACGAAAATTTTACTTTTTTTAAATTTTCAAAAAATAAGACACTTAAGCGATAATGAGGACTGCACCATTCTGTTAAACGTTCTTTACGCTATCTAAGGTCCCAATTTAAGCAAAAAAATGTGGTGCGATTTCGAAGAAAAAATGGTTAACAGAAAATAAAAATATCCTATGTATGACTCAAAATTTCGCAAAAATACTAATGTTTTTGAAAAACTGAACATGCCATTATTTGAAGAAAGATTGGTTTTTCATAAACGCATTTCATTAAGAAAAAATGTTGATCTTCATAATTGTAGTTGTAGAAAGACGCCGAACAAATTTTGAATTTTCTCAATTTTCGAAAAATCTGTTTTTTAACGAACATGAGACCTGCGCCATTCTCTTAAGCATCCTTCACACTATCGAATAACAAAGGTAAATCAAAAACTTTTTTTAATTTTGAAAATGTCCCAGGGGCTTAAAGAACTTTCCAAAATAAAAATTTCGGTTTCGAATTTAGGGGATCGGAAAATATCAGCCAGATCGATTGAGTAATATCGATTTAGGAGACAATCGGCTGAACGGTTTAGCCGCTAGTTCCGTCTTGTTCCGTTCCGTGCCGACCGAGTGTGCGCTTAGCTTAAAGCGCGCCACTGGCTCGGCTGTGCTGGGGGGGCGCAGGGCCCCGTGTGAGGGGGCGGGCTCGCTCCCCGCGAGGGCGTCGCGTCGGCGCCGGGTGCAGGCGGCGGCGCGCGTCCTGGGGGAAGCCGCTATCGACTCGGCGATCGACCACCGGGGGCGGCGGCGGCGGCGGCGAGAGGGGCGGGGCCCTAGGTGGCACGCACCCACCGACTCGCTGGCCACAAGCCCGAATGGACGGTGACGACGATTTAAATAATTTGGTTCGTCGACTTAATCACTTGGTTTGTCGATTTAATCCCTTAGTCCGTCTACTTAATCTCTTGGTTCGTCGTTTTAATCGCTTGGTTCGTCGTTTTAATCGCTTGGTTCGTCGTTTTAATCGCTTGGTTCGTCGTTTTAATCCCTTGGTTCGTCGTTTTAATCGCTTGGTTCGTCGTTTTAATCCCTTGGTTCGTCATTTCAATCGCTTGGTTCGTCGATTTGATCGCTTGATTCGGAGATTTAAATAATTTAACCCGTTGATTGTATAATTAACCCCTTACGACATTTTCGTAATTAATCAAACCGCTAAATTTCGAAAATGTTGATTTTTTGTTAAATTATCAAATAGAGATTTTTTCTGGAAAAATATTAATTTTCGCATAGTTCTGAGTGGAAAGTGACAATTTCAAGAAAAACTGAAACATTTCCTCAAACGACTAAAATATTTATATTTCCCTTTTTCCTTCGAAAATGTTTGCTGTGTAATTTGGCGTAGGTCCGATTTTCATTGAAACCAAATAAAATGTGTATATTGAGAAAGTTAAACTCTCTTTTTGATGCTTCGGTTAGCACAACCATGCGCGCTGGTGGTATAGCCAGCGCATTGATCGCCATACCTATGCGACCAAGTTCAAATTCCAGCCGGGCCAACATTTCTGCGTGCAAATAATATGGTAAAGCCGGGGCAAACACAACCGAATAATACGATACGTTACGAATAATACGATAAAGTATGTGCTGTTGACGCACAACTAGTTTTCTTTTGCATACCTTTTGAGTTTCAGAGGCGTTTATCCGCGATTTGAAAATAAAACTAGAGTAGAGTGGCGGTAATACGAGTTTTGCTAATTCGGGATTCCGTTCAATTCGACATGCAATAAAATCCTTATGTGGGCCAAGTCACCAGACAAGCATAATAAAGAGCCGACTCTTGGAGGGTTGGCAACACTGATGACTGTCTGCTACATTGTTGTGTCTGGTCATTTAGATGTATGTGGGGATCAGCAATTTTAATAGTATCTGCAATTAAATTTGACTTCGTTGTATATTGTAGTTAAAAATATCGTATACGGCGTAGAATCACGACCATCCGAGGTAATCAAGGCGAGTAGTATTTCGGGTTACAAAACACTCGGATTACACAGAAAAAAGGCAAATACATACCGAAATTTTCAACTACAGTGTAAAACGAAGTCAAATTTAATGTACAGATACTATTCAAATTACACGTACATACATGAATGTAAACTGGCTACAACAGTGCAGCAGACGGGCTGTCACGGGCAGACACCCCCGCACACGTGACGCAGTGTTGTCAACCCGTCTTGATTATCACCGCTTGTTTGCACGTTTGGAGACGGCGTGCATCAGGCAATCTAGAATTGCACGGAATCTCGGGTTAACGAGGCACTGATGACCGGGGCTCTACTGTATTGTTCTTTTTTCCAGGTCATAAAATATTTTTCTGTAATCCCAGGTATCATCAGCCCCAATTAGCTCCGATTACCGCGTCCATAGTGCTATCCTTTTTAGAGAGACTTATTAGCAACCTGAACTCGCGCTTCTGCCCGTGCGTTTAGGGTTGTTGGGCCATTGGGCGAAGGAAGTATATTGTCGCGTGCGGCCACCTGCACCCCCTCCCCTCCCCTCCCCTCCGCTCCACCCCCGCACGACCACCTGTAATGCGGGAGTGTGGGGAGGGCCAGCTCGGCTTGAGCGGGCCGAGTGATGATCGAGGAAACGAAAAAAGTTTAAAACATTGGGGGTAGTTCTGAGAAAAAAAATAGAAAATGTTATTGAAACGCAGGGTTGCCATATGCGTTGCGGGCTCTTTCCCCACCACTACTTTGGAATTTCCCCAAACAACCTCTCCAATAAAACACAACTGCCCAACTTTGAAACGAAATATATTCTCCAAATTATGTACAAACGACATGAGCTGTCCCTGTTCCATTAGCTTTCCCTTTAAATTCAAATAATTCATATTAACCAATCATCGTCCTTTGAACTGCTCGAAACCATAGAGGAGGGATATTTGTGCTATATGCTCGAATACTATCTTCCTTTTAAAATGAGAGAATAATGTCTGGTGTTCATTTTTTTATTCATAATAATTGAGAAAATACTATTTCTATCTCGACTCCAGATGACAATAATTTCCTCAAAAATCCCCCAAACACTTCCCTGCCCATTTATGTTCTCCATTTCCTCCCAAAAAATCCACATTTTGGGGACAGGGACACTCCCAGTAGTGTAGTGCATGTCAGTGTATGTGTGTGTAAGGAGTGAGGATAGGACAAGGAAGAGGAAGGAAAGATCGCGCGCGGTCCGTGGCCCTTTTGTTAGGATACTGCTCCGGCATTCGTCTGGTGTTGATTGGAGAAACCACGGAAAACTATCGATCAGAGGAGCCGGCCTCCAGAATTCTTTCCTCCATATAGGGTCTGGCTTCGACCTAGCTGAGAAGCTAGTATCAAAATTCTTGCCAATGTCGTCGTCTGGTGAATTGCTCTAAAATGCTGACATAACATAAAGTTGTATGCAAAAGTAAATGATTTTATATGAAACCACATTCAAATCGTGATTCAATGGGCACTTACCTTAAAGATAAGAGAGATAAAAACATCAGGTTCCATTGTTCTGCGGGATTAACAGGATTATAAGTGGATCTACTTTGTGTGTACCACCTGTTATGCTAATCCGACGAAAGAGTTTCGAAATCTGGCTCACAGATGGCATTGCTCTGCACCTTTATTCCTTGTGCAGAACAGTCCTGCCTCCACACGCTGGCTATTTCGCCACTGAAAGGCGTATTCGACGCGACAATGATAAATTGCGTTTCAAGTTTAATTAAAAACCATTCTTTCGTTCGTCAATCGAGTAAGCTGCATGTGTCAGTTCGTTACTAGACACAAGACCTCTTCCAGTAGCGAGTAAGGTTGTGCGAGTTAGCTGTCATTCTATTCGTATGGACTTGACCATTTTCTCAAATTCTTTCTGGACATTATGTGAGTTTGGAAAAGGGGGATGGTATATAAACAGGTTTGGGGGATTTTACGACACCTGTGTAGGCAGTTCTTTGTTTCGCGAATCGGTCATCACGGGGCCATGAGATACGTGAATCCCACCGGGACCCATACTTGATTATCGGGGTAGGTGCTCATTACTTTTCTACAGGGGGAATCAGTATTTTAATGCTGCTTCCATTTTTATACCTCAGGGAGGGGTGGAATTATGATGACGAGTTATGAAATAGACTCACACAAACATACAGAACACAACTACGCCCGAGGCGGGAATCGAACCCGCGATCCTTTGGTTCGAGACCGCCCCTGCACTACTGCCTTAGCGATCTCGGCCATCGGATTGGCTGCCTTTTTATTTCCTTTATCCTCAAAACATTAAGAAGTGTTTGTGACGTATGGGGGAGAAATACAGTCTGTGAACATTTTCTGGAGCTCCCTGCCTTGCCTCTTCAGCTATTATGCAAACTAGCACTGCTGTCACGCGTTGCTATCAGACATACTCAGGTGGCTCTTTGAAGATGACACCTTCGAATATGCCCTGAACCGCTGCAGATGCTGTTTTCACTAAAAAGAAGATGTGAAAAGAGCACATAAGATGATGAATATTAAGCTATAGTGTTCTTGATTTAAGAAATACGAACACAACTGTTATATTTTAAATGAAATGGATTGGAATATAGATTTCTTTAGCACATATGAACATGGCACAATTACAGCAGATAACAAAATTGGAATACATGAGTGGGGGGGGGGGGAGCTGCAGCTGGGGTATACAAAGCAATCGTCGCACGCCCCTCTGGGTAATTAAAATTGGGGTTGTTTGTTTTAGCGAATGTATTCTAAATCGCGCCCCTTGTGCGTGTCGCCCAAGGTATGCCATGCCGCCTATTTGTTTCGCGGGTGGGCCAACTCGGGCCACGCGTGCATCCTACTTCAGCAGGCGCAAATACCTTTCTGGGGGACGGCGATCACCACTTGAGCAGAGTTCCGACTTTTATTCTTCAAGGTTGTTAGGTATGGACGAGAGGGATGAAAGGATGGGACACAGTATAGACATACACAAACACACCCATGACCGAGGCGGGACTCGAACCCGCGGTCTTCTGGTCCGAGACGGCTTCGGCACTACTGACCCAACGATGTCGGGCATCTGATCAGTTGATCCGCCGCTCTATATGGACTGGCTGTATTTTTTCATATTTTGTTAATGAACACTCCAGTCTATGAGCCGAAACACCGATGCAATAATTATTCCAAAAGACGAGATTTCATCTGATGTAAATATAATAATAAATAACTTCAACCTTTTATAATTTTATTTTATTCTCTAATTAATGTGCCTGATACGGGAGTCGTTTATTTTTTTTGTACAAAATAGTAAATGTATTAAATATTTGGGCAAACTATACTTTTCGAGTAATAATTCCTGAATTTCATTCCTACTTCCGGATGGGTTGGTTTATAGTTTGCGGTGCACCTACAACGGATCCACCTAGAAAAATTAAGCTGCATGTTTATTTTAGAAACCAACGAAATAATGTGGTTTATTGAGAAAACACAAACCAGGAGAGGTAATGATGTCACTGCAGTGCTTCTGACCGGGAGGTCCGAGGTTCGAGTCCCGACAGTACAAAACCTTCGACACTAGCTTGTCAGCTAGGTCGAATTCAGTCGCTACTTGGAGGACAATTCAAGCGGCCGGCTGCTCTGATGGGTAGTTTCCTGTCGTTTCTCCGATCAACACCAGGCGAATGCCGGAGCAGTACCCCAAAAACGGGCCACGGACCGCGCGCAATTTTTCCTTCCTCCTCCTCGTCCTATCCTCACCCATTACTTAAACACACTTATTATTACATGCTCTACATTATCACACATGCCGGGAGACCGGTCAGGAGTTTAGAGCTTGCCCCCTGTGGTGCTACCCCGCTGGTGAGAGATACCTGGTTCCTGGTGGGAGAAAATCATGTGAACGGTGTAGGCGTTAGCTTTGACCACGGGCAGAATGGCATTTTGCCGTCAATCGATTTTTCAGTATCAAGGACCCACAAAACATGGCTTTACAACGTGTTAGATGAAGTAATGTACTATACAGGAACAAGATTCGTCTACTTTTTCATTATCAGAGCCCAGCAATAAGTTTTTCTGTCAAAAAAACGTCGTTTTCGGCGCACGATTAATAATAATAATAATAATAATAATAATAATAATAATAATAATAATATTTATTGAGTCACATATACAATTACAATCGTGTATGACGAGTCAATATGATGCCTTGGGTGGAGAATGCGAAGTTACATTACTGTTCTGGAGCAAACAAGGGGCCATCTCAGCATTTGCTCAAAGGATCAGGGAAACTGAACAAAACCTGATCAAGATGGGGTCATTGGCCTAGAAATACAATACTTGTTACAGTTAGATTAAGATATTATACAGTAGATAAATTATCTGTTAATAATTAACATTTCAATATGATATTTAAATGCTACTACTTATAATAATAATTACATTAATAATAATTCCATCAATAATAATAATTACATTAATTATAATAATTACATTAGTTATAATAATTACATTAATAATACATATCAATTATGTTTGCAACTACATCAAATTTAACAATAGTAGTACATTCTGTATTTATAACTTGAAATGGTGAGGAGGCAAGTTTTGACCAGTTTTCTTCTTCTTCTATTTCACAGGATGTGATATGCAGTTCTTTTTTCTTTGCTTCAGCTTGAAACAGGTCACATGAAACAGAAAGTCTAATGGAATAAGAAATTCTTATTTATTTATATTTTTAAGGGAAATGTAATTTGAAAATTCCTTTACACTGTAGAACATGTTGTTAAGCAGGAAAGCTTTCAATTTACTTTTAAATGTATGAATTGTGTTTATGTCTTTGATATCATTGCCTAGTTTGTTGTAAAGTGTAATGCCCTCTATTAGGGTACTTTTTTGATAAAGTGTTTTTCCCTTCTATTACAATTTTACAATTTACAATTACAATTTTTCCCTTCTTACGAAGTAATTGCGAGACAGTAAAATGCAGTATGCTACGTCGTGCCAAACCTCCCTAATATTGGCATTTTCTCTTGCGCTCTAAAATACGGTCTGTACACCGTTCCATCCTTGAAAGGTTATCCTCGATTCGAACACATCTCGGAATTCGTGCTCTCGCTTGTTCTCTGCTCCGGTTCAATTGGCTAGGAACGCTCACTGGTGTGTCCCAGACGCGAGTTTACATACACACACACGCACGCACGCTCGCACTTACACACACACACACACACACACACACACACACACATCCTCCGCATAAAGATCATTTCTGCCGAAAATTCGTTGTTTTCCGGAGCACGTTTACAATACTTTCTCTTCTTACGAAGTAAGGGCGAGAGAGTAAAAAATTAATGACTCTTACAGCTTGTGTAAATATTTTCAACTGGAAATACAAAACAAAATGAAAATTTATTATTGTGGTGATATACTCTTATTTACTGTTCATCTGGAGTTTGTTTTCACTACTTTATACCTTCATGGTGTTCTGCACGAGTTGTATGTAACTCTAAATCACGCAGACGTGGCGAACCCGTCTGTGAATTTTAGATAAGTAAAATGTTTATGTAATGTTTGTGTATGCCTCAAAGCATATTAAAATAATTTTTCTTTCTCAGGAAAATTCTCATCAAATTACAAAATAACAATTGGAGCTGATTTTGCCATAAAATCATTGCAATGGGACCCTGGCACAAAAGTCAATTTACAATTATGGTAAGTGTTTAATACAAAAGAAAATAATTATTTTCCCCAGTCTTTTTATATTACTTTTAATAACAAAATTTAGTGTCATGTTAATGTAGTTAGAAAAATTAGCTTATTATGATTACTGTTAAATCACAAATTTACAAAAAATGTTAATTAAATGTTTTGTTACAATCCAAGCTTTTCAAAAGTTACACAGTTAAATATAATTTCTTTACAATATGTTGTAACAAGTATCTCAGAGGTATTAAGATCCTTGGTTCTTGTTTTTGCCTAAATAGGATATTTTTACGTACTTCTTTTCATTTTTCATTGCTCTTCATTGTTCTTCTTTGAGTTGTTGAGAATTACGCTAAAAATACATTAATAATAAAGTTAAAAGCAGTCAATGCAATTTGCAATATTTTATTCAGTAATTTATTTCCTTTTAACATAGTTAAATAAATAATGCTAGTAAAAGAACCTATAGAGGCAATTGATTTGCCTGTTCACAGGGACTGAGTACAGAAAGGAAAAACAGACAGATACACAATAAAAGGACAAAAAGAGAAGGAAAATTGAATATAAAAATAAAAAAATAATAAAAAAATTAAGTTGATAGAAATATTTTTATTAAGTAATGTTTTCCATCTTTCTTCTTTAGTCATTCTAGAAATTACATAAATCAGAAATCATAAATCAGAACTCTGCAAGGATACAGTCCATTCTTTGTTTAACAATATCCATTTTGATAATTTTTTCTTTAATACAATTTTATTGGTACTTAAAACTTTGAGATCAATTGGCAATTTATTAAAAATTCTGAGGAATGTAATGTAACTTCTTTCTTTTTTAGGTTCAATCAATAATTGGTAATAATTTATTTTTATTTCTAGTTATGTTTTTCGAGAGAATAATGTTAAGTTTCTGCTACTCATAGAAACTACACAGAGAGTATAAAGCAAAACTATCGATTATTTATTTTAGACTGGATGATTACAACACCTTTAAACTATTTCTCTGTTAAATTAAATAAATTTGACATAGCATACTATATTTTAAACATAATAACTTTTAGCAGACTTTCTTTGTGAGACATCTCTTATTCCTATTGCTCTGAAAAGTACATATTATTAAAAGGCATTACTGTTTTAAATTTCAGGGACATAGCTGGCCATGAACGGTTTGGTTACATGACAAGAGTATACTTCAAATATGCGTAAGTACCTGTTTTTTCTTGGAGCTTAAAATTGCTATTTTAAAAAGAATTCAAAAAGTGAAAAGTTATCATTTTTGTTTTTTCATAAATTTCTTGTCTATATTTTAGGATGAAAGAATTAAGAATGATAATCATTGTGTTAATTAAGCAATTTATTTCAAGAAACGCATTCAGATAATTTCACTGTGAAAAACATTGTGAAAATTTCTCAAAAAGATAAAGAGATCATCATCATCATCATCATCATCATCATCATCATCAACAACAACTATTGAGTTTTAGGCCACTTGGTCTGTTCCTTCATTCCAGTGTTTCCTCAATCGCTAATGAGGTGTTCCTGGTCCATCCACCTCTTCTTCAGTCTTTAACCCCATGGCTTGTATCTCGTCGCCATTTTTGAGTATCTGGTGGGTTTCATTCTTTTTGTGTGTTTACGCCATTTTATTTGGTGCTTCTCTATTTCGTGGACAATGTTCTTTATTTTAAGCCTTTTTTTGTGTGTTTATTTCTTATCCTGTTTTTCTTTGAGATCTTTTATACTGATCTTAAGTATCTCATTTGGGCTTCTTCAATTCTTTGCTTATCACTTTGTCTTAATACCCAAATTTTACTACCATATAATAGGGTTGGTTTGGATACAATGTCATGCAGTCCAATTTTTGTTTCTGTATTCATGTTTTTAAAATGTCTTTTGATGCATTCATTATTGTTTTTTGTATTTTGCCAATTTTATGTCTTCCTCTTGCAATGAAATTTTGTTTCCAGGTATGTGAAAGTAGCTACTTGTTCTATAATTTGATTATCTATTATTATTTTAACTCTACTGCATTCGTTGCCTATTATTCCCATTACTTCAGTTTTTGTGGTTGATATTCTTGCTTTGTATTCATTTATGATCATATTTAATTTATGGGCTGCTTTTTGTAAGTCATCTTCTGATTTTGCCAGGATTACCTGGTCCCCGGCATATAATGTTTTTTTAATTTTTTTTGTCTTGTCTCTTATTGATGCCTCCTTCGGCTTCCTCCATCTATTTTTGATTATACAATTCACATATATGTTAAACAATAGTGGTGATAGCATGTAGCCCTGTTATAGTTCAATGTTTCTCGGGATTTCTTCGGTGCTTATTCCTTATAAAGAATTTTTATTGCATTTATTAGATGTTCCTCTGTGTTGTTTTTCGAGCACTTTCCACAGCATTTTCCTATTTACTCTATCATAAGCTTTTTCATAGTCTATGCATAGGTGGTATGTTGGTAGGTTTTGTTCACTTCTTTTGCATATTATCTGGTCTACAGTGAAAACTGTATCTATGGAGCCTCTCCCTTTCCTGAAACCACACTGTACCTCTTCCATAAAAGTTTTCCTATATTCTGTGAGCCTGTTTTTCAGGATGCTTGCATAAATCTTGTACGCTGCTGCTTGCATTGTTATTAACTCTATAGTTTTCACTCGTATTTTTTGCTCCTTTCTTGTGTATATTTATTACAATTCCTGTTTGCCATTCTGTTGGTATTGTGAGTGTCATCCATATTTCATTCAGATTGAGTCACAAACAAAAATATACACAATATTTGCATTAAAAGGTTATTCTTGATTCTATTTTTCTGTCCTTTATACAAATTTTATCCACCTTTTAAAATTTGGTATCTTAGAAGCTATAGAAGTTCTGTTGACCCAAGAGAGGACAAGTATTTACTTAACCTCCTGCTCAAAACAAGCAGTTATAGAGAGGTTTCTCTGAGAAAGGATCACTTTGACACATTTGGGAAACAAACAAAAGTCCTGCAGGGCAATGACACTGGAAGAGATAATGATGAAGCCATTTACAAATGAGCTAACTGAAAACAAACTGACAAATTGAGTACATGGACATAACCTGCAGTTATGTTGCAAGCAGTAGCCAAACAGTAGCTATCAAAGCAGTCCCTTCTTAGATTAATCTTTCCATACTATCATGTTGTTTACTTTTAGTTGCAAAATTTATAGGAATTTTATGTTTTTAGGGTAGCAGCTGCGGTAGTGTTTGATGTGTCTCGTATTGCCACATTCCAGTCTGTACAAAAGGTATGTGCTATATTGCTTTGTTTTTCTTATGCATTTAATTTTTTATTCAAATAATTAATTAGTTAATAAAATATCTCTAGATATGGTCAAGTAATAAATTATAAAATTGTTTTGTATCCTTTGTGCATTTGGAGAAAATCAAAACAATCATACTTTCAGCTTTTTTTTTTTTTTTTTTAATCCATAGAAGACGAGTCAACATATCTTTTTTGTCTTCATTTTTGTTATTCGATAGCCTGAATTTGTCTTTGTTTTACAATAACAAATTATTGACTTCACATAATTTGTGTATAAGTTGGTAGATCTTTCCAGAATCAATAATCAATGTATACCTGAAGATGTTAGCAAAAAGTATGTGAAATGTCTGTAATTTGTTTAGTTATCTTCAATGGGTAAATTAATATTTTGCTGGAATAATAATGTTTAAATGTTGTTGAGCCCCTTATTTAAATTTTGGACCCCCCACAATATATACTGCCGAACAATTTTTACATCATTTTATTTGTTTATGCATTCAGATGATGTTTCGGAGACGATTTTGTCTCCCTCATCAGGTACAACTGAAAATTTAATTATGAAAATAGTTCAAATGATGATGCCCTTATCACAAAAACTACAAACAATAATAACTAAATCTATATTGTTTTGAAATTTTGACTTCATCATTTGAACTATTTTTATAATTAAATTTTAAGTTGTGCCTGATGAGGTTGACAAAACAGTTTCCAAAGCATGATCTGAATGCATAAATAAATAAAATTATGATGTAAAAATATTTTGGAAGTATTTATTGTTGTTGTCCAAAATTGAAATAAGGGATTGAACAACATTTAAATAGAATTATGTGACAACAAATTTAAAACTTAATCTTATTAATGGAATAATTATGCTTTGAGACCCTCAGGTGTCACATGGACACTCTGCTAGCTATCTGTGAGGTGTCCTCAGGTTCGATTCCCGGCTGGGCAAAAATGAAGCTCCAGTTTTCTGATACAAATCATCTCAGTTTCTATAGCTGTGTGATGCAAGGAAATGCTTAGGCGGGTCAGGTGTGCTAGATATGATGATGGTAATACATCATGATCACCACGTGTTTCCCTTACCGCAGGTGTGGATAATAAATGAAAATGGGGCCCAGCTCTAGGAACACTACTAGCTGGTAAAAGTCAAATTAAACTGACTCAAAAAGTCCAAATACATAGTAATATATTGATTGCCTTAAAATACCAAAAGGTTACAAAAGAATTTTAAAATTTTTTGTCATGTGTGTCTGTCACTAATATAATATATACTCATATACTCATTTTGACCAATGTATTATGGACAAACCAATTTTATATTGAGTATTCTTATTTGTTCTTATATGGTTAATTCAAATTTTAATAACAATAATAACAGATATATAATTTTTTCACATGTTAAGCCTCTTTGTTCATTGTGTGTTTGTAACTCCTTGTTTTTTAGCCTGATTATGGGGAAAAAATGTTTCCTTGAAACTGTTGCAAGTCCTGATTGTTAACTTGGTACAAGATCCTGTTTCATTTACGAAGACAATATAACTTCCTACAGTATAAAATTGTTCTGTCCTTAACATATTGGCCAAAAAATGAATGTGTGTTTTATAATTCATTAATATGCTCTGCTGTTCATTCGCAATCGTCGCTTCATTCTCGCCTGCAGTGGCTGACCGACCTGAGGGAGAAGGTGTCTCTGCAGGATGGTTCTCCCGTGCCGGTGGTGCTGCTGGCCAACAAATGTGATATTGCCGCTGCCTCCGTGCCAACTGACTTGGTAGCTCGCTTTTGCAGAGACAATGGTCTCGTTGCATGGTATTTGACTTCAGCCAAGGAGAATATCGCTATTGGTAATTTATAAACATAAAATAAATGTCTCTCTATTAAATTATATAACTTTTTCTAAATTATATTTCTTTTTATCTTTATAGGTGTGTACTAATAATGATGTTCTGTGTAATTCTAAATTATATTTGTTTGTGTGTAGGGTCTATGTATGTATTTGTATATGTGTGTGTGCATGTGTGTGACATGAAGGAAGTTGAATTCTTTAGTGTGAATAATTTGCAAGCGATTGCTCTCCATAGAATCCCTTGGTACCATAGAATCACATTTGGATAACAAGGGTCAACAGGAGATTATTCCACAGTGATGGCTTCTTATTATTGTTTACAGTTACTGATATTACTTCCAATATACATATTAAATTACTCAAGAGACGATAAAGAAAAATTGGTGCCAGAAGCAAGATCTGCATTTATGTCCCTCACTGGATACTTCAAATTGGTGTACCCTACCATGAATAACTCTTTGATAAAACTATTTGTATAGAACATTTATGAACATTTATGAATTATTTACATGCAATTGGAATGAATTTAATTTATAATTATAATAATTATTTAACTCTTTTTCTATGGCGATTAAAAGGCATGACCTTTGAAAAGAAATAAAATTGCTTAATATAATCACAGCTAATTAAAATTTGTAGTAATTTTCATGCCTCCTCTTTGTTCAATTTATTAAATACTTAACAAAGACATCAACAAAGGAAAAAAATCATATGTTGTAAATACAATGAAATAAGAAATTTGTTTTTCTGATTCAATATTCTTTGGTAACATAATTTTTTTCATGATCACTAATAAAATTTGAGTACTCCATGCTAATATTGATTAAATTTTAATACATCATAAAAGTCACTTCAATTGAAATTTGTATTCTTCCATCTTTTTCTACATAAATAATTAATTATTGAAATTTAAAAAAATTATCATTAAAATATTTTTATTGCAAATGTAGAATGCTAAATGAGATGCACGACCTCTTGTTAGTAGCCATGTGTTCTCTTGTACACACACACCCCAGGAAGGTTGGCAGGAGCAAATCCAACTGATCATTTGGGGGGCATTATAAATTTTTATTAAATAATAAACATATTTGTTGTATTGCATATTATTTTTATAGTTTATATATGATACTATTCAATACTATTTTTTAAATTTTATTTTTTTGCACTTCATGGATTAGGCTTGAGCCTGTTCCATCTTTACAAGTTTTCCTTCCATCCCTTTTTGGATCTGCCCACATCTCTTTTTCAATGCGGTTGATAAGAGTAATACTGATTAGATAGTCTGGTATTATCCATCCTTGCATGTGTTGATTCCAGATGTTTTGGTATTTAGTTATTTTCCTTCCAGTTCCTTCAGCATGTATTTTTGCTGTTTAATTTCCTTGTTACAAATGTGATGTTCTTTCATGCAGTCTAGCGTTCTCCTCAAAAACTTCATTTCAGTGGCCAGTATTCTACTTAGGGATCTTTTTGTTGATATCCATCTTTCGCTGTCATACAGAAGAATTGGAAGACGTCTTATAATACTGTTTTCTTGAATCGTGCCTTGTCTTATTTTTTAGTGTATTGTGTATAATATATAAATTCTTCGGAACCTTGCTAATTTAACATTGTTGTTTTTCTTGGTATCTTGATTAACTTGACAACCTAAGTAGCTGAAACTGGAAACTTGCTATAAAATTATTTTATCCAATATAATTTTGGATCAAATTAGATGTTTTTTCCCAAAATGCTGTCACTTTCATCATCTTATTTTTTAAATAAATGATTTAAGTGGAATAATGCATACTGTAAATCATCTTATAATTATAATTAAATTATCTTTAAAATAGTAAAGTAAATAATAGAGTAAAATATTTAAAATCTTTTCTTTTGATATCTTAATACATTTGTAAATTTTTTGCTTCCAATTTTGGATAAAGTGATCAAAATAAATATTAAAAAGTGTCAGTGAGACTGGGCATCCTTGCAACACTTCTCTATGTATCAATATTTCATCAGTTTCATTTATTCCAACTTTTTTTACAATAGTAGAGTTTTTATACAAGCTCTTTATTGCTTCTACTGACTTTTGAGGATAGCCATTATTTTCTCTTATAGACCCGAGTTTCGCTCTATTTACATTATCAAAGGCTTTTACAAAATCTATGAAAGCTTTGTGTGTCTGTTGATTGCATACCTTTCTTTTTTCTATTATTTGTTGCGGAATGAATGTATTGTCTGTAGTCAATCACCCTTTTCTAAAACCATTCTGTTCTTCACCGATGAGAGTTTCTGAGATACATTTCAGTCTTTTATTTAATATTCTAGCCTATGACTTGTATAGAGAATTTAAAATGCTGATTCCTTTGTAATTTTTACAATCTTTGAATACAAATATTACTTTGGCAGTTTTTCATGGTTCTAATATTTTACTAGTTTGCCAACAATAATTCACAATATGTTGCAGTTGCCAGTGGAGCATCATCCCACCATGTTTTAATTGTTGTGCATTTGAGTTGTCTGTTTCTGTTGCTTCCTATTTTTCAGTTCTTTCAAGGCCTCTTGGATCTCACATATCGTTATGGGATTAACATCATTGCATATGACTTCACATATTTCTTTTGCTTCATTTTTGTTATACCATAGGTTTATATGGTGCTTAATTCAGTCTCTCTTATCAATTACATCTATTCTCACTGTATCTTTTTCTTCTTTGTTCAGATGTTTAATAATCTCATAAGCAAAATGTTGTCTTCCATGTATTTTATTTTCTATTTGGCTTATAAATGTATCCCATGCTTGTTGTTGAGCTTGTCAATTATCTTTTTTTGCTAAATCACTTTTTCCTTGTATCTTACTTTACTCTCCTCAGTATTTTGTTGCGGGTGCTGAAGATAGACTATTTGTTTGATTTTTTATTAATATAATTATAATATAAATAAATATTTAAATCTATTTTGAATCAAAGAAAGGAAGGAAAGAAACAACAACTTTGGAAGTGAGAGGACATGGCCCCCACGCTCCTCCTGGATCCGCCAGTGCAGTTTGGGGGCACGAGCCCTCCATACCAGACTGCGTACTACTTGATGAAACTTTCAATAGACTACTGAAAATGCAAATTTGCTAGTAATTGCTTATCAGCACAATACTCAATGTCTCTGCCCACCGCTCACTGTTTTGGTGGTCTGCTCAATGTGTGAATGTTTTCATTTATAAACTTTCAGAAAACAAATTCTGAAATTCATAATTAATATCTCAGGTTTGTTCACTAGCCGGCACCAATCACAAAAATTTCTTTGAAGGTCAAATTTATATAGGTAGTTGAAGAAATCATAAATGAGTAGCAATAATGAGTGAAAATAAAATTATACTTTATTAGAAACGAAAATTAAAGGAAAAGAAAACATTTTGATAGGTATAAAAAGTATAAATGGGAAAAAGAAATTGAAAAAAGCAATTTTATATTAAAATTGTTACAAAATATCATCATCATCAGCAGCAGCAGCACCCTCAGTTTTCTCAAAGTGCTTGTGTTCTGTTACTGATAGTAAAGCAGTATTCCTTCATGTGGTGAAATATTCCTGCTGGTGCCATCTTCTTGTCGGTTTGCCTCTTTCCCTCTTGCCGTCAGCTCTACAATTTAATGTCATCTGAGATTAAATGTCGTTTGTCCATTCTTTTCACTGCTTTCCCAATTTCCTTTGGTAATTTTTTATTTCTTCTGCAAAGTTAGCTGTTTTCAATTCTTTCCTAATTGATTCATTTTGAATTTTGTCTCTCTTCTTGTTGCTCCTAACACTGCCCTTAGAAACTTCATATGAGATACATCTATGCTTATGGTTTCCTTTATACAAATTTCTGAACCATACTTTAGCATTGGTTTTGATGTAATAATATGTATTCTCATCGTTGTTTCTTTTCCGAAAAGTCCAAAATGTCTTGTGTTTCCATTATATTTTTGTATTTTTTCTTCTATATCTTTCTGGTTCAATCTAATTGAATTTCTGAGATTTTTAAGTGATAACTTGTTCAATAATTGAATTTTCTATAACTATTTTGGCTCTAAGATGTTCTTTGCTTCAGAAGGCTAATGTTTTAGTTTTCTGGCTTGATATTTTCATTTGATATTCTTTGCTTATTTTATTTAACTTGAAGGCTGCTTTCTGAAGTGTGTCTTCTGAGTCTGTTATTATAACTTGGTCCTCTGTTAATAATATTGTCACTACTTTCTGGTTGTTTGTTATCTTTAATCCTGCTTAAGTTTTCTGTTTCCATGCTTTTGTCATATGATTCAAGTAAAAGTTGAAGAGTTGTGATGTCAGTGTGCATCCTTGCCTTGAATGTTTCTTGATCTTCATCTGCTCTATTGTGTCTTGGTTATTTTTAATAACTATTAGAAATCTTGGTACAGACTCTGTATGTTTTTGATTTAATGATCTGGTACTGTTTCTTCTTTCAGAATTGTTACAAAAAAAATCAAATAATTTAGAATAAAGTGCAAAGAAAATTTTTTATTCACAACAGTATTTACTCTGGTACTAAACAGTAGAACAAACCTTAATATATTCTGGCCTGTGGGCCAGGTTCAGCATAGCCTTTTTCACAATGATTTACCAAGAAAAGCCAGAAAGGTGGTAGTAAGCAAATTGAAAACCTTTAAATGAAATAAAATTATTTTTGATACAGCAGGAATGATGCATGAAGTAAATTCAATAAACTTAGTCCTTATCTAGAGTTCCATTCAAGATTCATGAGAAATGAAGTGAAAAATATGGATTTTCAGTTCAAGAATTTCAATTTCAGTTCAATTGTGAACATGGATTGATTCCCCTTTGATACAATGAGATTTTAGAAATCTGTTATTTTTCTGTTCAGTTGAAGGTGAATTATCTCTGAAGGATACCAACAACTCCAATTAATAAGGAAACATTCCAATGTCCCTCTCTGATTTGGCTGAATTTCAGACACGTTGCAATGGATGAAGAAATAAATTTCACTATTTTTTTTTCTGCAGACAAATGTTTCAAATTAAAAAATGATAAATTGTAGCCCAATTATAAAAATAATGATAACCTGCATTCTTTACACTTCAGTTTGATATATAATATAAAGTATCACTAAATTTAGTAAACTAAAGTTAACCCTAAACAAAAAAAGTTTTCCCCAAAGAAATATAAAAGTAGTTTTTTTTCTTGAAACGGAAGTATACCCATTTTTTTCTGATTTTTTGCCCTTTGTATTTAGTTACTTTTCACTGCGTTTTTGAAATTAATTTTATATTTGGGAGAAAATAACTCATAATAATAAATAGAAAAATACATTTAACAGTTTTGTAATATGTCTGCAAATTATATATACATTATACGATAGCATTAATTTTTCGTACAAAATAGGATAATCATCTTTTAATATCCATTCATTTGGTTGATGGTTCATTGATCATTCAGATGATTTCACCCTTTTTTTAAACTGGGTTTAGAAAACAATTACTGAGGCTTATTCCTTCCTGCCTTTCAAAATATCTAATTCTGCAAAATTCGGAAGGGACACCCTGGAAAGATGCTTTATAACTAAAATTAACAAATTTTCAGTCTTTCCTGAAGAAACAACTAAAATTTTGATGATATTCAATCAATAAGAAGTAGTGCAATCACTAACCTTAAAAGAAATGACAGAGTTAGTTGACACTCTGTAACTTTACTTATACAATTTTCACTCCATTTCCAAGGCTCAGTACGAATAGCTAATGAAGAAGAGTAGCAGGCCCTTTCCTTCATCTAGTCTTTATCAATGAAATTGGTAGCATGCAATTGCAATTTTGTTTCCCTCATATTGTAAAGCTATTGAAAATATTGTAATTGGTTTATTAAAATTTATCTTGGTTTGCGTTTTATTTATTTTTTACTTTCAGCCCTCAAGTACCCTAGTTTAATATTAGTAAATGGTTCTGGGAAAATGAAATTGAGAAGGTCTGCTATTTTATGTACATTATTTGTCTTTCCTTCTGTTGCAGATGAAGCTATGGCCTGTCTAGTGAGACAAGTGCTAGCATTACGTACTTCGGGGCCAACTCACTCAGATGGGTTAGTTTTAGGAGCAAACTCTTCAGAGACTTTGAACCATTCGTCTGGATGTTGTGGCTCGTAGCATGTGAACTTCATTTAGACCCGAGGGGTTCTCTTTTAATGCTGTGCATTCATGCCTCACTTGTAAAGAGAAAACAAGCAGCAGCTGAAAAGGAAAAATGGCTTGCCGAGTGGCTCCTTCTCTACGAAGACCAAGCACCTTTTTGGTCAAGTGATATTCTTTTATATGTACATAAAACTGATTCTCATTAACCATAGTAACTGTATAAAATGTTGTAGGAAGCTATTAATGCGTACTGGAGAAACTACTTAGTAGTACACTTTTAAAGGACATGTGTCCTTTCTGCACAAATGTCAAATGTAATTTCTTGCAGTTCAAATTATAAACAGATTATAGAGAATGTAGAGTACAAAAATTCGTCTGGGAGACTGAAGTATTTTATTAAATGTTATCGAACGAAAGAAGGAAAAATATTGTTGAGATTGTATATATAGTGCAATTCATTCATTATCGTCCATTTTTGCATATCATTGTGGAGGATTCAATTATATTCCATATTTGTATTGTAATTATTTAAGAAAATATATCTTGATATTCGCCAAAACATTATTTTATTTTCATCCAACTTATTTTGTGTGTATAATATAAAAGTTTTCACATGATTCTACAGTAATTGCGAGTCAAAATTTTTTGTATATTTTGTGCATTTCCTGTACATGGTATGCTTCAAGGGCAGGTTGTGGCCATTCGAGGTCTCTTTTTGAAAAAAGATTGAGTGTAAAAGCAAACATATCAAATTGAAGTGAAAAAGACAATGGAACTATAAGAAATTAATGATATTCAATATAAAGAATTACAGACAATTGATTTGACAACATTGACAAAATTATTTATACAATTCCTTGAATTTTCTTAAAAATATAAGATCCTGTCTCAGATAATTCTGGGTGAGAATTGTTGTTTAAAATACTAAAAATGCAATACAAGTCTATTAGAGGTAGGTGAATTACCAGATTATAGTTTTAAATAAACTTTGTTGCAAAACATACAAATGATGTCAAAAGAACATTTATGATAAAAAACAACAAAGCATTTACAAGTGGTTTGTGGATTGCTTAAGCATATTTCTACTTTTTAATTAATGATTTTGGAAGAATACATTTAGTGTGATCTTAAGATTTTGAACAAGGGATCCTGAAGATACTGATTAAAAAAACAAATCTCATTTCTCCATTTCCATTTCGAGTTTATGATGGTACCAATCTGAACCTGACTTACAAGAAAAGTGCTTAATACCTTTTAAAAATGTATTGGAGGATAATTATTTTTGTATATTTGCTTTGATTGGCTCTTGAGATCAGGGATAGATCCAGAAAAAAAAGTGTAGCGTATTCAAATGAAAATACTCAGAGGAGGGGGAAAACTACCCAAAGGAATGGAAGTGACCAACATGTGATAATTTAATAGCTGTAAATAAATAATGAAAATTGCAAATTTAGTAAAAAAGTTTGTGTGTGTGTGTGTGTGTATGAGGGGGAAGAAAAGAAAGTCCAGCTTGTATTTATTGACCTACAAAAAGCATACAATACAGTGGCTTTAAATAAGTTATGGCCAAGTGTGAAGGAAAGTGCTCTTGAAACAGTCCACATAATGCTGTCAAAGCATTACTCAGTGATAGTAGCAGGTCAGTTAAAAGGCATGATTGTTTCCCCCCATTATTGTAGGTGAGCAAGGTGTTAAGACATTGCTGTTGGCTTGTTTCACTCTTATTCAAAACACATCTTGAAGAAGCCCTTGAGAAGTGGAGAAAGAAGTATGGTGAATGAGGCTGTCAATATCAAATGATAAAACTGTACACATGGCTGTTTGCTGATGATCACGTTGATAATCTGGAGATGACGATGATGCAAGTCACATATTTTGCAAATTACGAGGGGAGTATGAACAACTGAATATGTGGTAGCAGAAAAAAAACATGGGCATCTGGACATAGGACCAGGGAAGATTAAGTGAAGTGGAACCTTTAAATATCCCTGAGTTATCCTCTTCTCTAAGGGACAAAGGGCTGATGACATTTCTAACAAGATAGGTCAGGGAAAACAGTTGATTAGGCAATTAAACTCTCTACTCTGGAATAAAAATATTATTAAATAAAAGAAGGCTTGAATCTATAAGTCTATAGGTGAGAGCATGTACCTATGGAGCAGAAACATGAAAATTGAACCAAAGGGATTAAAAGCAGATTGATGGCCCTTGAAATAGAGTATTGGAGGATGTCATGTGCTGAGATTGGAACACACACAAGACAAATACACTAAGACAAATGATGAACATGGGGGGCAGCACTGGGATACAATGGGAACCAAATGGTTAAATCGGTATGGGGATCTCCAATTCATTAGCAAAAATGGGTGGTTACAAAGGTCTGGGTGCGGACACCTCCAAAACGGAAAAAGCATGGAAGACTGCTAAGAAGTTGGAGAAAGATTGTCGAAAAAGAAATGGCGGCAAGGCTTCAATGGAGAAGTTTGGAAGAGCATAAATATAAAATTAAAACAAATATTATATTGGGGAAAGTGGGATGCTCTCCTGTACAATCTGCCACTGGAAGTGATTAAAGTACTCAGTTTGAAGTAATATAAAGATTCACCATATTCTCTTTATAACTTATGAGGTGTAATTAAACTTGATCTTTGTTGAACCCCAAAGGTTGCCTATTAGTGCCTACTGTGAAGTGCACTTTCACTTTTAACCTCATTTACAACTTTTGCCTCAGCTTCATATTCATCGACAACCTCCAATAAAAGCTCAAAACAAATTTGGCTGCAGTTGCCTCCTTTAGAACTGTGATATTAGGCATATCTCAAAAATAGCCTAAAAATAAGGGACATAATCAAAAATAACTTAAAAGTGATACTTGGGTATGGGGTGTACTTGGGGTTGGGAAGTATTTAAATACTTGTATTTAAAATATGATTTTAAAATACATTTTGCATTTGAAAAACTGTATTTGAGTTTTTTGGTGTATTTAAAAAAATAAATATGTAAAGTACTTTAAATAAAGATGAAGAAGAAGGTAATGGGGATAGTTTTTTGTTTGAATTCGCTAGAATGCACCTCATTGAAACAAAAATAAAAGCTTCTTTCTTCTGTTTAATTTGAATTCTCTTCATTTTTAAATGATAAATTTGAATCATTAAAAATGTTTGACAATTATCTGATAGTAAAAAAGCATTTATTCAGTATAACACTAGTTTATGTTCATCCTTGCCGCTTCAATAACTGCTTTCCTTTGCGGTTTTTATATATTATTCAATTGGGGGTTTATTGCCTGAAAATTTGTTTGAAGAATTAGTCATCTTATAAGAAAATTCCATTTATTCGTTAGACATATTTTTATATCATTTTATATTTGAAAGTGTTTATACATATGTGTTACAATTAGTTATTGTTCAGAAATTTGTATGTCTGACAATTACCAATTTATTGTAATATTTGCTGGAATCTTTTTGTAACTGAAATTTGTTAGTGTTTTTGCTGGTAGAAGAAAGTATTGCAATGAGTCTCATACCTACATCAACATTTAAATTGCCTAAAGAGAAACTGCTAAAGGGTAAGGGGTTGAGAAATGTAAGCGAACAGTGCTGGCAGCTCACAGTGAACTATGAAGTTATATTTTGCATTCATCATATTAAATCATATATCGTATATTAAATCTTTTGCATTTAAAATTTTGTAATTCGTAATGGTGTTTTGCCTACGTTTTAAATGATTGATGCATGTGCCTCATAAAATATAAAGACGTGATCAGAAGAGAATTGACCTCCAAGAAGTTTGAAATCAGTAAGTTGCCTCATACCTTGTCATTTGTAGGTGAAGTGGCTCACTCCACATGAAGATCCATCTTTGGGATTTTCCAATTGCACTATTTCACCTCATCCCACATCCTAAATTTCCTAGTCGCATCAAACAATCCCGATGCTGATTGACACAATCCACTCCTATATTATTTCAGCAGTACAGATGAGTTTTGAGTCTCTTGCACCAATCAATCTTTATAAATGAGGTGTCTAAAGAAAGAGAATTTCATGGAGATGTGAAGGATTGCAGTTTAACTTTAAAAATATAAAGGAGTCATTGGTAAATCTAGTAGTGATCCAATAGTACATACTTGCGTGCACTTATTAATGCTTACGTAGTACTATTTATACTGCAATTTATCTTCGAATTAAATCATCTCAGTTATCATTTATCGTAAAACTAAAATTTTAGAAAATTTATACATGAGCTTATTTCAAAATACATCTTCAAGGAACAGATTTCATTAAGGGAAAAAAATCTCTGTCTTTAATATTTTAGTTGTAAGAAGACGCCGAACAAATTTTGAACTTTTGCTGTTTTCGAAAAAATAAGGGTTTTAATGAAAATGAGACCTGCAACTCTTCAACGCCCTTCACACTATCCAGTAAAAAAGTTTAATCGAAAACGTTGGAGCCATTTATTGAATTTCAATTTCGGAGATCGGCTGACGTTGTATGTAGCCACTAATGTTCACAGACATACAAACGGACGGACAGACAGACGTTTCTCCGTCAATCGATTTTTAGGTATCAAGGACCCACAAAACAGATTTTGGCTACACCACGAGTTGGAGGATTTCCCCCTAAATTTAGCAAGTGAATTTATCCCCTTTTTTGTAACTAGCGCTCAGCAATAAGAGTTTTTGTGCCAAAAAATTGCCATTTTGCGCTCAGACTTTTTCTCTTCCGTGGCGAAAAAGTAAAAAGCATCTACATATTCATGTCATTTGCAACCTGCAACACTCAGGGAGCATGGTGTAAATGAATATAATTAAATAAGTCGTACATGAAGCGTTCTAGGACCTTAAAACCTCGAATTTTGAGACCAAATGCTTCAAAGAAACGTTCCTCACTCCGTAATCTTCTGGATGAAATAATTTTAGACATTATATTACATTTTCGCTGGTCCGGCCCTTTTCGATACTACCCCATTTGTTCGGTGTCGTACAGAACCTGCAACTGTATGTGAAATTAAACTACAGTTAATTATTTGATATTCTATGCCAATTGAATTGCACGGGTCCACTGTTCGATAGTAAAATTAAATATATGCAAAGAGGATGGTTATATTTTAACTGTTTTTTCGAATAGACAACTTTAGATAACTATCTCGAGAGTAAAAATATTTTTCAATATTTTTGTGACTATCAAGGAAAGCGAAAAGCAAAATGTTCAGGAAGATTGAATAATAACTTCAAATGCTGCATTTAAGGAAGTGTTATGAATTTTTCCAAGAACATGTCTGTAATAATGAATGCACCTTTATTGAAAGTTTGTTTTAGTTATCAATTGGATTGTTTTTTATTTTGATTTTATATTCTGTAAGTTCATTGGAAATTATCTTTATACATTTTAAAACAAATAAACACATTTCCTTTAAATTTCCCCTCATAAAATGGAAATGAAAGGACAGAGAAGAGGGTTGTCTTTAACGTGTGAGAATTCTCGCACGGGTAATATGGAATTAGACTAGTCACATTATAAAATAATCTTGCAGTTTACAAGATCTGCCGCGAAAGTATTACGTCTCAATTTTTTTGGCGCCACTATAAGTCGCAGAACGATCAGATTAGTTTGGATAGGGTAAGGGAAGATTTAGATTTTCAACGGTTTTATTTATATATTAAGTAAAATACAGTTAAAAACTGTGTGACGAGCTACGGAGAGAAGTTAATTTGAAGTTACATTTATGTCCAGGAGCAAAACAAGGGGCCATATCAGCATTTGCTCGAAGATCAGGGAAACTGGACGAAAACATGATCGAGATGGGGGTCATTGACCCAGAAGCTGAAGTACAATTCTTGTTACAGGTTCTTTACAATTATACAATCCAAATGGTAAATAATACACTAAATATAATTTTTAAAATTAATAAAAATTAATTTAATTAATTAATTAATTAAATTGTTCCTAGAACAGTTGTCTCCGTGTCCTGGGGAGGTTAGAGGTTAGGTAAGTTCGGGAGCACCTGTGTAGTAGTCGTATCGTAGAGAAATGTTTGGATGGAAGCAGCGCAGTCAAGTTTTGCGCGAAGCTGAACAAGGCACCGGAAGAAACTTTCGAGACGTTTCATCCTAATTTTTGGTCACTGTTTAACTGTATTTTACTATCACCGGGGATGTGACGTGGATCTTCGAGTACGACCCGGAAACAATGTGGCAGAGCACGGAGAGGCACACCTCAGCGACTCCGAGCTCCACCACGTGTGAAAATCACACTCATTGCTTTTTTTTTCTTTCTTCACATAAAGGCAGGGATGCCACCTTTCCTTTGTTTGATGGACTTGTCCTCTTTTTTTAACGTTGTCTTCCCTCTTTTTTTTTACACGGAATGTCCTCCCTATTGTCCTG